TATATTCTGGATATTAATCCTTTGTCAGATGTATATTTTGCAAATATTTTCTCCCACTCTGTTGGTTGTCTTTTAACTCTGTTAATTGTTTCTTTTGCTGTGCAGAAGCTTTTTAGTTTGATATAATCCCATTTGTTTATTTTTCCTTTGGTTGCCCATGCTTTTGGGGTCGTATTCGTGAAGTCTTTGTCCAGTCCTATTTCCTGAAGTGTTTCTCCTATGTTTTCTTTAAGAAGTTTTATTGTTTCAGGGTGTATATTTAAATCCTTAATCCATTTTGAGTTGATTTTAGTATATGGTGAGAGGTGTGGGTCTAGTTTCATTCTCCTGCATATGGATATCCAGTTCTCCCAGCACCATTTGCTGAAGAGGCAGTCTCTTCCCCAGTGAATAGGCTTGGTGCCTTTGTCAAAGATCAGATGGCAGTCAGTATGGTACTGGCATAAAAACAGACACACTGATCAATGGAATAGAATATAGAATTAAGGTAAGTTTTTAAAGGGATAATAATTCCAGATGTTGTTTATATTGATTGTATGCTCAACTTCTCTCATCAGTGAATAAAAATCGTAGTATCTTTCTCATAAGTTTTTGCTATGACTGTGAAAGAACCCAACAATTTTTTCCAAACAATTATTTTGTGCACATTTAGTATTGAAAGAGGAGAAGAGGCTTATTTTTTGTTGGATACTTTATTGCAGGCATTTTCTGTGGCATAATCTCATTTGTCATTTACATTTTCAAATAAGTGAAATTTTTACATATGAAGAAAGTGAAACCAAGAGAGGTGAAATTATTGCTTACATCATATAGCTAATATGTGGAGGAACAAAACATTATAGATTGTACTCTCTATGGTGATGAGCTTCTGGATCTTAGCAATGAAAAAAATGAATACATGGGCTTTAGTGCCTCTCCGAATCTCAGTAAATCGTCATGGAGCCTTGGCTAGAGCTCTTTTTATGCCTCTTCATGTAACTCTGAGGCACTGTATCATTAGTTACTCTAGCAGCCTGTCCAGCCATCACTGCGTGCCTCTGTTTCTGGACATAGTGGGGTTTGGAATAATGAGGTTTCTGGTCATCTCCAAGATGAGATGCTGCCTTTAGGTTCTAGGAGAATAATAAAGTTTTGATAACACCTGATGGTGCTTTGCAATTCCCTGAGAAATCTTTGAATGACCTGAACGCTGGTTTTAGCTATCAGTCACAATCTGTGGGAAAACAGTATTGTTTAGAAGCAATAAGGAAGAATTATGGTTAAATCTTTTTGCTGAGACAAGTCTTTGGTCATCTAAGGATTCTGGTTATCTTGAAAAGGCCATTTATGAGCTATGAGAACCAAGTTTACAGTATATCATTTGCCTAGAACCTATTTCTTTCAGCAATTTCTACAAAATTCTATTCTCTACTGTGGAAAGTATCTCATGGTTTAGTGGAGACCCCTTTGCTGTCTTACTGGCTGTTCTTGGAGAATTTAATCTTCTTATTAATATATTGATTTTAAAGCCACAATGCTGTAAAATCTGTGGGTCAAAATTGTATTATTTTTGAACAAAACCATGACAAATTTTACAAAGAGAATAGATAAAATATGATTTTTAAATTGAATTCTAAAGATCAAAACAGTTATTTTCTGTGTGGAAGAATAGGTAGCATTTCAGTATTGACGTAATAAAAGAATGTTTATACTAAGCATCATTTTATATGTACCTTAAAATTATAAAAGTGAAAAATTAAGAAAAATATTATCCACAGTCCTTACAAAAGCTAACTAATAAAATGCTTACACTAATAAAAATGCTTACTTTGTGCTGTGTTTTCTTTCAGTCTTTTATTGTACTCCTTTGATTTCATTGGTGCAAGGTGTCACATTTCCAAAATATTTAAAATCTTTCTATTTATAGTCTTATGCTTTTTCCATTTATCCCTGTTTCTTATTTCTAAGCAAACTTGTTTTGTTCTCTTCACTGGACTTCCACATCCTGAGGTTTTTTTTAATTCCTAAGCTTTCTTCCAGCTTCACTTGCTTTCCTACCCTCATTGAGCCTACATAGATATGCTAAAGTTTTCTTTATGTGGATACTTTTTACATAATAATCATAGTCAGCATATGTTAATAATCATAGTCAGCAGATATTTATTGAACACTTATAATGGGCTAAGTACTCTATTTGTTTCTGGGGATAAAGCTGTGAACCAGATAAAGTCCCTGCCTTCAGGAATCTTCTGATAGGAAAAAATCCCCTCCTTCTCAAGTTTTTGCAAGAATTTGTATAGAATTTTTGTTATTTTGTTCATAAAATTTACCAGTAAGACTATCTAGACCCTAGCTTGTGGGAAAGTTTTTAACTACAATTTCAATTTCTTTAATAGTTATTCAAGTTATCTATTAAGCTATTCAAGTTATCAAGTTATTTTGAGCTATTCAAGTTATCTATTTTAAGGAATGTGACTATTTCATCTAAGTTGTCAAATTTATTAGCATAAAGTTGCTTATAATATTCCCCTTTTTCTCTTTTCTGTAGAATCTGTAGGGATGCCACCCCTCTAATTCCTGTTATTGATAATGTATGTGTTTTTCCCCCCCTCCCTCAGTCTAGCTGAAAGAACAAGACTTTGGTTTCATTAATTTTCTCTATTGTTTTACTGTTTTGTATTTCATTGACCTTTGTTTTGTTCTTTATTATTTCCTTTATTCTGTTTACTTTGGGTTTAGTTTGCTCTTCTTTTTCTGGTTTCTTAAGGTGGAAGATAAAGTCATGGATTTGAGAATTTTCTTCTTTTTTAACATAGAGACATTTAGTGTTATATGTTTCCTACTAAGCACATGTTTTGTTTTGATTTTCTTCAGTTAAAAATACTTTATAATTCCTGTTTATTTCTTCTTTGATCTGTGGGTTATTTCAAAGTATGTTATGTAGTTTCTAAATACTTCAGGATTTTCCAAGTATCTTTTTTCTATTGATTTTTAATTTAATTGTTGCTAGAGAGCATGTTGTGCATAGCTTGAATCTTTTTAAATTTATTGGGAGTTGTTTGTGGCCCAGAATAGAGTCTGTCTTAGCAAATGTTCTTTTCCCACTTGAAAAGAATGTGTATTCTGTAAATGTGTCAAGTATTCTGTAGATGTTAATAGGGTCACATTGGTTGATAGTGTTAGTAGGTCTACTATATTCTCATTTATTTTCTGTTTACTTGTATCAATTATTGAGAGAGGGGTATTCACATCTCTACCTGTGCATGTGGATTTGTCTGTTTCTTCTTGAAGTTATATTAGTAGCCCTCAGACAATTGCAGAGATCTCTCCAAAATGAGGCTGCCCTTGGTTATTTGGAGGGGGCTTTCTGGAGGTGTAACTGATTTGTAACTGCACATCCTGTGAGCAGTTTTTCCTACAATGGGAGTCACCCAAATAGAGAAGGTGGTACAGAATTTGTTCCCTACTTTAGCTGAAGTGATAAATAACACCATCTTTGCTCTGCAGAACATTCAAGTCACCAGCCAGGATGGTATGGTTGATAGAATTGCCCCAGACTTCCTCCTTGCATGCAAAGGCTGAATCTGTGCTGATATATCCTGCTATATCTGGATTAATTCCCTAGGCCAAGGAGAAAGTCACCTAGCAAAGGTCGACCCTGGTAGTTTATGGATTTGTTCAGCTGCTTGGGTCTGGGCCCCTGGGGCCATGTTTGAGATCAACATTGCAGGTTGACCTCATCCTGCTGCTTGGAGTCTTACTGGTAGTAGCCTTAATTAAATTCTCTGTGAGAGAAATTGAACAGATTTAATCCCATAACCTGCAAAGTGTTATTCAGTTGTGTCCTGGAAACATTCGCCAGAAGCCAAAATCGTGCAAAAATGAGGGGTGCATAATATTGGGAGACAGTTCTCCTTGGCTCCTTCACTTTTCTGCATGTTTTTCTCACAGAGGCAAAATTTCTCACAGCCTTTTCTTCTGGACTGTGTTTTCAAGGATGTTTACACAGCAAACAGCCTTGTTTCTTTCCCAGCCTTGGGTAGTTTCCTCACATGCATGTGCTAATCTATAGTTACTCTAGAGGGAGTCTCTGCTGATCTCCAGAGTCTGATCTCTGTGCAGCTCTTTCCTCTCCAGTACTTTACCCCTAAAAATCTAGCTTCCCTGGTCTCTCTGGACTTTCAGCTCTGTCTCCTCAATTCAGGGAGACTACCAAGCTCTTCCTGGATTTCCCCTCCCTGCACTGCAACGTGGAAACACTCTAATCAATAAGCTGGGGAAATCATAAGACTTTTCTTTTTGGTTTCCCATCTCTTGAGGATCACTCTTCTTTGTTGTCTGATATCCAATATTTGTGAACCATTGTGTTATATAACTTGCCCAGTTTTTACACATTTCAAGTGGGAGGATAGATCTGGTTCCTATTACTTATTGGTCAGAAGTGAAAGTCCTGATTTTTTAAAGTAATTCTGTAAAAATAGAGATACTCTGTTGATTGCATATGTGCCCACATATGTTTTTAATCATTTTCCAATGTTGAACTAGAGTGAACAATAATGAAAACTATTACAAGATCATTCGGTCTGAGTTCCTTTGTGTGGAGCAGAATACAAAGTAAAGTTGAAGGTTCTTAGCAAAGGAGCTCTCAAGGTTGAGCCTTATTGGGTCAAGGAAAGATGGTAGAGTTTGACTATGGTAGTATGACAATAGAAGTAGGTTTGAACTGAATATCTTTTAACACTTATTTAATTTTAAAACTGGATAGAATTAGCTGTAGCAGTGACTATAATTTTTATCCAGAATAGCTCAGTTTGTTGGGTGGTGATCTAAACATGCAGTCATTTCCTATGAGTTTATAGGGACATAGCAACTACTCTAAATTTGCCCATATTTTGTCCTATCATATTTTTAGATGGAGGCTCCACAAAGAGTAATTCCTGTAATTCTTGAAAACTGCCTTTCATATTCATTCGTGGCTAGACTTGCTCCATCCTGGAACAGAACTGGCCATCTCTTGGTACAAGGTAACTTTATCTCTTTCAGTTATTGGGGCTTTCTGAACGAGATTACTTTTGTTATATGCATGTGTTTTTAATTTCAAAATATACTATTTTTAGAAACTAGTTCTTAAAACGGTCCCAACTAAGCATTCTCAAGCAAGCCCACAACAACATAAATGTTATCTCCTTACTTTGAGATACATCCAGGGACATGTTGATGTTTCTTTAAATTTTTTTTTTTTATGTTATACTTGATACTTAGAAAGGAATAAATATTAATTATGAAACATTATGATAAAATGAACACAAATTGCCAATGCTGTTGGAACTGAAAGGTTATGTTGAATTTTTGTCAAGATCTGACTGTTTTCTAAGTATTTTATAGCAGGAGATAAATATATGAGGGAATAATTGGGTATTTCTGTCCTTTTAATTGAAGAGATATTTTGATTTGTTATATTTTTCTCTGAACTGTCATCAGATATTTCTTGTATAACAACTGCATTTGAAAATTTTTTTTAGCTTTGATAATTTCACATAAATTTTGTATTTATCAAGCATGATTATTTATGAGTTATAATAATATGGCATATCCTGTGAATTTTTAAAGGAAGAGATTTTCTTTCTCAGATGGGAAAGCAAAATGCTGTTGGTAAGTAAAAATGTGTAAGTCAATAGATAAAACATTGATATAATTAACAGTTGTTTTAAGAAAACTATGTTACAGATCATTGCATTGTTATCCTGATGATTAGGTTATATCAATTTAATCAGATATTATTGTAATCAAAATTTCACCTGAGAAATCACTTCTGATTCAAAATACATATTCTACCTGTATGAGAAAAATTCACTTATCTTAATTGGAATAAAAACCTATATTTTTATTTTCTCTACCTAAAGAAAATTATGATATTGAAGGAGTTTAATTCTGCAGGCATTTATAATGTATAGTTTCTAGAACCATATCATCAAAAATTCTTCAGTACTGATGTAGGTCAAAGCCTTATTTCTTAAAAGAAGAATATGACTCTTTTTCTCCTTTAAAAAAATTGTCTAAAGAGACACAGATGATCTGAAGTGTAGAGTTTACTATATGGTCTAATTGAATTTTTTCATCTATTTGCATGGTTGTATTGGAGGTAGACAGATTCCTAAATGGCAGTCCAGAGATAGCAGATAGGTGGGAGTCCAGAGCCTACAGTAAACATTAATCAATTGTGGGAGCTTCCCCCATTTGGGCATAGCCTTATGTAATCCACAACTACTGGATCCAATTGACTCTCCAGCTGAAACTTGTTTTCCTATTTGCAGTAGTTTTGTATTTAAATTGTGCAGTGGCAATCACTAGGCTCTCGCTCTGTCTGGATGAACGGGTTCATTACCTAAATTTAGTTTCATCCCCAAACTCTATCATGAGACTACAGCTGTAGATATTAATGATAATCAGCTCAGGACAGCAAAATTCCTCACTCCTATGTTAGATTTCTTTCTTTTTTTTTTACTTTTATTAAAATGTAATATACTGTAGCAAAACTAACAAATTCTAAGTGTATAGTTCATTGAATTTTCACAAACTAAAAATATCCATGTACTTTGATCCATCAGATCAAGAAATATTATCAGTACCCCAGAAACCCCCTCATGCTTTCTTCAGGTGCTACCCCTTCCCAAGGTCACCACTATCCTGACTTGTCAGAAGTAGTTTTGTTTATGAAAAAGCATGATAGAGACCTCAGGGCTCTAGGCAATCTGGACTGTGTGCCTGTATATTTGAAGAGGTTAGTAAAACATTACTCAAGTCAGAAGCATGGTGTAGTACCTCTCCAGATTTCAGAAGAGGGCAGCCTCCTTATTTTTACATATAATAGATGTCAGACTTGTATGAGGTATTTCTTGGTTTTTCCTCTTGATTGTGAAATGTCTCATTTTTCTTATAACACTGTCCTACAACACCTCCACTCTTCAAGAATACATATCCATGCTATATCATACCTGTGCTTCTTTTAGGTGTTTCACCTGTAGACTGTCAAATATTATATGGTGATTATTTGATTTTTATTGTGTATGGAAAATATCTATTTTTACTTAGTTTTTGACTTGAATAAATTAAGTAAAGTATTTTCTTTTACTACTGAAATAATTTGATAAGATGGAGCAATAATTATAGCTAGTTCACAGTTAAATATTTTATTTTCAGTATTAGACATCAATGTAACAGAAACTCAAGTTTGTCTAAGTATAGAAGCTTGCACAGTCAGACTGCCACCACCTGAGGTACCACATATTTTGATTTCTAGAGTGTACTATATTTACTATATACTTAATATATTTATTATTATTAACATGCTATGAGGTTTTAATTTTTGCCATGAAAGTTGATAGGAAGTAGTGGAAAACCACAGACCTCCCTTGGGAGATCAGGTGCTGTTCCCAACAGGACAAAGAGAATGCATAATACCACTCTTTGCTGGCAGGCTGGCTCCCAAGAGGAAGAAGGAGGAGTTGAGCCAAGCATACCTGGTTATTCACCCCAGTTTAACCAGCCACCTAAGTCACCCCAGCTGCCCTAGGGAGGAATTAATGATGGGCAGAGCAACACCAGAAATATGTGTTAGTAGAGCATTCTTGACATGGCAGGAAACACTAGAATTGGAGCAGACACATTCCTCTCTTCAGTTTAGCATTATACACTCAATACGTACTTGATAAATTAAATCAGTTCCCTAAATCATGTCTGGTTGCAACTTTGTCCTCTCTTGGATGCTTTCAGTGAGTGTACTAATGGCACTCAGACTCAATTATGTCATAAACTGAACGTATTTATTTGTTACTCTTCCGTACCCCAAATCTGTTCTTTTGTGTTTATTCTTTTTGTTACTGGCATCAACAGCCAGTAAGTTACCTACGTGAAGACTTCAGAGGCATCCTTGCTTTTCCTCTTCCTCGCTGCCTCTATCCAATTCGTCTCTAATAGCCTACCTTGGTCTCTGAAATAGACTCCTGTCTCCATTTCCAATGTTATAATTCAGACTCCCTTCTTTTGCCTGTATTGTTAAACTATTTTCCATATGGGATTTGTTTCTAGCCTTTCCCATTCTAGTTTATTCTCTAATTCTTCCTCAGAAGTGTTAACAGCGTTCTCTTTCTAAAACAAAGATCCCCAAACTAAATATCTCTAGTACCTCAGAATTGTCTAGATAAAATTAAGTCCAAAGTCTTTGCATTGGCATTATATGGAGAAAGTAATATTTATCAGCATGGTCACAAGAGGACACTTTATAATATTTGCTAAGTAAATAAATACGAGGGGTTAGCAGTCTCTTGGGGAGTATGGTGAACAGTTGGGTAGTTTGCCAGTCTCTAGAACAATCTGCGTTGAGAAAGACTAGTATAGACAATAAATGCTGGTACCATGGAGATCCCTGCAGCGGTTGGCTTGAGCCTCTGAATAGGGTAGAAAGTACCTGGAAGGATATCAACTAAAGCTATCTAAGTAGGTGTATATAGGAATGCATAAACTGTGAACGTTTGAACCTGATACTTACCTCCTTTGAACTCAATTTTAGGTTCTGTTTTCCCTCAGTTTATTCACTCACCTGTACCCAGTGTTTTCTGACATTCATAGCCATGCCTGCCCTAACCATTTTTTTGTCACTCAGCTTAGGCAACAGATCTCTTAAGCACAGTACATCACAGTGCAAGATTTATCTCTTGTGCACAGGGCAATATGTATCCTTATTCCTTCTGAGTGTCCTTGCACTCTTACCTTACAATGTAACTAGCACATCTTATCTTCCTCTTCCTACGTTAATGTTTTTCTGCTTATCCCTGCTCCCCCATTTCCATCAGTTTTAACATATGCTGTAGGAATTCAGAGAAGGATCAGGCACCAGACATAGAGGACATGGGTCTAGATGCAGGCCTCTAATGCTCTTATTGATAGGAGTCGGATAAACCAAAGTGGGGCAATGCTTTAAGCAAGTACTGTATATCATTAAAATGCTAAAGACTTGTCCAGGCAATAAAAAGTTGCCCAGTTTAGCTGGAGTTCCTTGAAAAGTAGTAGACAGTGAGGTTAGAATATTGTTTCCTAAACAATGCTGTGATGATAGATTAAAAAGGGAGTGAGGGATTGTGAACCATTCTCTTTATTCTTAATGTAGTGTCTTTTTACCCATTAATACTTTATTTTTTGCCTCCCTTGAGGTCTCTCTATATCTTTGACTAACTGTAAGAAAATGCCTCCTGGGGAGACTTCCCAGGGTAGGAGAATTGTGGGTGGCAAACTCTTGTTGGCTACTTAAAAGCTTAATTGCCTGATAGGTAGAGAACCTGAGGAACAGGGAAGAAAGCATTCTAGGATGTGGGAAGGGGCTATAAGAGGACGATGGAGCTCTGTCCTCCCCTCCAAAATACCAGATAAAATTATAACTCCCTTACTCATCCTTCACTTAAAAAAAAAAAAGTCAAAAAATTGAGTTAAGAAGCTATTCTTATAAAATGTAAATACCTTCCTTCGTAAGGGATTCAACTTCCTGCAAATTAATATAATCAAAAAAACTGAAAACCAGTTGCAATAAGTACAAAATAGAAGTTTGGGTTTGGAGGATAAGAGGGAAAGCATGACATACTTGATATACTTTATAGAGGAAAAACAGGACAAGCTGAAACATTGATTATGTTACGTAAAGTGGTTATGCATGATTCAACGTAACTTAATTATTTAAAACTACTCTATAACCAACCGTGTGTGTGTAGCAGATAATGTATTTTTTAATGTTTCTTTTCCTTTGTCAAATTATTTGAGGACTTATACATTTAAATCTTATTTCTGTTAAAAGCTAAAAGAGTTCGATATTTCTCAGAGTGTTATAAAGGATTTTTATACTAACAAGAATGCTGTCATTGAGAGACATTCCATTTTAAGCAACTGGTGCTACGTTTTGCCAAGGTGAGATTTCAATTTATAGTATCTAAGGTAGATTCAAAATAGTAATCTTCTCTTATTTTTCTTCTTTAACATTGTATGTGCAAAACTATAAACCATTTTGGTGAATTTAAAAAATTGAATTATAACTGTAAAAAGATATTAAAACAATATTGTCATACTTACAGAAGCCATAAAATTCCTTTATCAAATTATTAAAATAATTTTATTATACACATACATTTTTATTAGATATAATTTTTTAAAACAGTAAAAGTTCTAGATTTCCCATTATGAAATGACTACTACCATAATAATGTCAACAAAACCTTATAAACATACGTGATAGTTAATGATTCATTATAAGTTGATATGAGCTGAGTTTTAAGTTTGTACTATCTTCAGGAAAAAATGATTTGTTACTAATATAAGCAAGACCATTGGGATGAAATTTTAACTTGCTTAGGAAAAAGAACTTTAACATACACATAATAATAGCATACACATAATAGCATACACATAATAATTTAGTCGTTGGAGAAGGGAAGCAGTAGATAGAGAACATAGATTTGACTCTGATTTATTCGACTCTTAACAGACTTTTCCCTAAAGTCTAACAATTACGAGTCATACCATCGTGTGGCAAAAATTTATTAGTCATTATTTTGTTTATAATTGGCCCATTGTTTGCACCAATTCAATTTAGTTTTCCATAACAATTCCAGTTTTTAAGATTTAATACAGATAAAGGCCATGTGTGATAAGCCCACAGCTAACATCATACTCAATGGTGAAAAGTTGAAAGCTGCCCCCATAAGACCAGGAACAAGATAAGCATGCCCATTATCACCTCTTCTATTCAACATAGTACTAGTTCTAGCCAGAGCAATTAGGCAAAAGAAAGAAATAAATGGCATCTAGATTGGAAAGGAACAAGTTAAATCGTGTGTGTTTGCAGATGACATGATCTTACATACAAAAAACCCTAAAGATTCTACCAAAACTTGTTAGAACTGACAAATGAATTCAGTAAAGTTGTAGGATACAAAATCAACGTACAGAAATCGGTAGCATTTCTATACACTAACAGTGAACTACCTGAAAAAGAAATCAAGAAAACGATTTCATTCGCAATACCTACAAAAAAATAAAATACTTAGGAATAAATTTAACCAAGGAAGAGAAAGACTTATGAAAACTATAAAACATGCATGAAAGAATTTGAAGAAAACACAAATAAGTGGAAAGATATTCATATTTATGGACTGGAAGAATTAATATTGTTAAACTGTCCATACTACCCAAAGTGATCTGCAGATTCAATACAATCCCTATCAAAATTCCAAAGACATTTTTTCACAGAAATAGAAAAAAACAATTCTAAAATTTGTATGAAATCACAAAAGACCACCAATAGCCAAAGTAATCAGTCAAAAAGAACAAAGCTGGAGGCAATACACTCCCTGATTTCAAACTATACTAAAAATGCTCAACATAACTAAAAATCAGGGAAATGAAAATTAAAACCACAATGAGATATCACTTTACACCTATTAGAATGTCTATTATCAAAAATACAAAAGATAAGTATTGGAGAGGATATGAAGAAAAGGGAACTCTTGCACTGTTGGTGGGAATATAAATTCGTCCAGCCATCATTGAAAATAGTACGGAGGTTCCTTCAAAAATTAAAAATAGAACTACCACTACTGTGTATATGTACAAAGGAAATGATATCAGTATAGCAACAAGATATCTGCACTCCCATGTTGATTGCAGCATTATTCACAATAGCCAAGATACAGAATCAGCCTAAGTGTCCATCATTGCATGAATAGGTAAAGAAAAAGCAGTACATATGTACAATAGAATAGTATTCAACCTTTAAAAGTAAGGAAATCCTACCGTTTGCAACAACATGGATGAACCTGGAGGCCATTATGTTAAGTGAAGTAAGCCAGATACTAACGATGAAAATACTTCATGATCTCACTTATATGTGGAATCTAAAAAAAAGTCAAACTCACAGAAGCATGGAGTAGAGTGGTGGTTACCAGCGGGGTGGGGGCAGATTGGGGAGATGTTGGTCAAAGGATATAAAATTTCAGTTCAATAGGAAGAATAAGTTCAAGAGATCTCTTGTACAATATGGTGACTACAGTTCATAACAATACATTGTATTCTTGAAAATCACTAAGAAAGATTTTGAGTGTTCTCACCACAAAAAAAATAAGTATGTGAGGTAATGTTAATTAGCTTGATTTAGCCATTCCATGACGTATACATGTTTCAGAACATCATGTCATGACAATAAATACATACAATTTTTATTTGTTAGTTAAAACAAAACAAAACAAAAAGATTTAACACAATGCATGTTTGAAACTAGGAGCAAGTGATTAGCTTGTTACTTATAAATGAGTAGTGAGACAGCTGCTGAATCTTTTTGAATCACAAAATTAACTTATCAAACTATATTTAAACATTGGCTCATAATATCTTACAACTCATTTTTCATAGTATGAAAATGGGACAAATAATAAGTATTCTTCATACCACTCCCCCTGACTGTCCTTATCACACATATGAAGATTTTCAGACGTACTGGAATGACCTGGTAAGGACTAGAAAGATATTTTACATTAGAAGTTATCTGATTTTATTTTTTGTAATTTTACCTAAGTTTGGCTTTCTCCAGAATTTTAAATTTTGTGCTTAATTTTCAGTATGGCTGTAAACTTCCAGATTGTGGAAATGTTGAAATATACTGCAGCATCTCCTTCAAAATGATCAGAGAAAGGACTTTCTCGTATCCTTTATGCACTACTTGTAGCAGATGCCCTGTGCCCACCTCATGATGGAGTCTTGCTCCCACACCCATGTCGTCATCATTGTCAACCTTCTCTATGTCTGAATGAAACTACTGTTCCTTCTACTTCTTATCTGCACAAGTGTTTTTTGTTTTGCTTAGAATTTCCCTGTGTTTTCATTTTAGGATGAGCTTAAGGATGATTTTCTCTCTTCAGACACTATTTCAGCAATTTAGAGAACAAAATTTAGAATAGACAGAAAAAATGTTTATATGTTTCGTAGAAAGTAAGAACACAATCATATGATTCTCCTTAGCCAAGAGCTCCCTCCAGTGGCACTTTGTATATTATTGACAGACTTGAATTCAAGGACTAGGTTGTTCAACAAAGATTTTTCTTTTTTGGAAGATTATCTAATTTTACAGGCAAGCTTAGAGGATTTGACTTGCCCTTAATGAACCTCACTGATTTAAGAAAATGTCTTTCTTAATGATATTTTTAAAAAATCTACACACGAAAAGTGCACAAGTGTTCAGGTGAAACTTAAATTTTAATTAGTACTGACTTCACCATTCCTGTCTCTTAGTTTTTGTATTCTGACGTGCTGGACTTTAAAAATGAGAGGAGGAGGAGCCATAGTGTTCTTTCTGAATTCTGTATTTCCTAACCCAAATCTTAATAGTAAAACTGAGGTTTACACATGTTAGTTATTGCCTTTCATTAGAAGCCAAGATATTATTCCAAGTTTTCAGAATATTTTTCATCAGAAAAAGCAACTGCTTTTCTCAAAGAACTGCTTTTGGAGCTTGAACTCAATCTACAAGTATATGTGTTGTTTTTCTGTATCAAGTTTTTTACTGTTTCTGGGAATGCAGCCTGTCCTCTGTTTACTATAACATTTATTTTTATTATCTGTAAGAGTCACAGTATCTTCCTTATAAATTATTTTTTGAGTATCTCAGTTTGCCAGTTCATTTAAAAAGCCATATAATAAGGATATATAATGACTTGTGTTGCTTGTGAGTGTTAAAATAGGAGGAATGAAGATCCTGTGAGAAAGCATGCTTTTCAGCTTCAAATAGTATCAAATTAGCAATATAAAAATAGTATTTAATTATGTGTGCCTTTTTAATTTTGCTATTTTAATACTTTTAAAATTCAATAGAAATTTTTATCTTTTATGTACAAAAAATTTGACATTGTTCTTTAACATTGTTCAGATACCCTCTCAGTTGCATCAGAAGTCAGCCAGTACAGTTCTTTCCAAGGGTAGATTTGGAAGGTGTCTTGAGAACTTTTCTTTCAGATTTAAAATCTAAACTGCCCCATATATGTGGATTTCCCATAAAGATGACAAATAAACCATGCTACTACACACAAGAACTAACTAAACCTCATATACAGGTAAGAGATTTCTCGTCTTGTCTAGTTCTCTAAGACTTACCATCCACATGTCTTACTTGAATCTCTTGCCTTCTATGGTGAATACCCAACCCATTGCCATTGTGCAGTAATTCTATTCAGTATTTTCCTAATACTATTTGTTATTATTATTGTACTTAACCATTTGTCACTGTCATTTGTTATTATTGTATTTAGCAGTGATTGTTTAATGAAATGTTTCACCCACATCCAGGATATAAATGAGTTGGGTTATTAGAGATTAAAGAGAGAGAATTTTGTGAAGAGTGTTCATTTGGAGAGACTGTACTATCAGTACAAGTTCAATTAAGTGGAAGGTGAGGTGCCTGCCCCTTACCACAACAGGTGGGGGTTTCTGTGGAACCAATCAGAGCTTAAAGTGCGACTCCTGCAGCATGAGGAAGGCAGTGGGCTATCGTCTGGCTCCTGTCTGACCTCATTAAAGAAATTAGTGTAACTGGCTGTCTACCGATAGGCACATTAAGGAAGAAATGGCCATTTGGGGATTTACCTTCACCCCAGAGTTTGTCAGAACAAACTCTGAAACTTGAAATCAGGACAAACTTAAAATCAGTTTCAGAATTTTGATTTTTACTGATGCTAGAAACTTTGGGGGAAAGAGGGATGTTTCCTGCTGGGTTTGTCTTCTGCATTTAAAAAATCCATTATTATGGTGACATATAGCATACATGTAGAAAAGTACATACAGGCTGGCCAGTCAGCTCAGTTGTTTAGAGCACAGCCTTATAACACCAAGGTCACAGGTTCAGACCCTCATACCAACCAGCTGCCAAAAAATAAAAATAAAAATAAGTACATATGTGTACAGCTTGATGAATGTTTATCAAACACCCATGTAACCATCACCCAGGTAAAAAATAGAACATGGCCAGCCCTTTAGGACCCTCCTGCTTGCACCTTCCTAGTCATAACTCCCTCCTCCCGAAAGGTAACCACTATCCTGACTTGTATGGGAATTCTTCCTTGCTTTCTTTGCTTTATCAACTAAGTATGTATCCTTAAACACCATCTTTCAGTTTTGCCTGCTTTTGAACTTTGTGTAAAAGAAGTCTTAGATTGTGTTTTCCTTTGTGTCTGACTTTTTAGGTTCAGCATCATTTTTATGACATTCATCCACGTTGTTCCATGTAGTCAGTTCGTTTTTACTTCTGTGTAGTATTTTATTATATGCTATATTTTATCCAGGATATTATTGATGGATATTTGGGTTGTTTCTGTTCGGGGGCTGTTGCTACTGATGCTGCAATGAACATTCTTGTGTGTGTCTCCTGGTGCACATGTACAGGAATCCTCTAGGAGTGGAATTGCTGTGTATAAGTGTACTTCAAAAAGTTCATGAAAAGGGGCCAGCCCCGTGGCGCACTGCTACAGTGCGCCGCTTGGGAAGCGCGGTGGCCCTCCCGCCGAGGTTTCGGATCCCACATGCAGACGTGCACCGAGGGTTGCGATCCCGTGGCTGGTCCCGGTCCGGTACGGGCGCGACACTGAGGGTTGCGATCCGTTGCTGGTCACGAAAAAAGACAAAAAGGAAAAAAAAAAAAAAGTTCATGAAAAGATTTGTATTATCTTTTAATTCTATTTTTCTATGAACTTTTTGAAATACCCTCGTATATCTACAATTTTTGTAGCTTTGCCAAACTATTTTCCAAAGTGGTTGTACCAGTTTCTGCTTTCCCTTCCCCCAAAGCAGTGCAGGAGAATTTATGTTGCTCCACATCCTTGTCCACATGTGGTATTGTTGGTTTTTAATTTCAGCCATTCTGGTGGGCGTATTTATTATCGAGTGTCTTTCATTTGCATTTCCTGACTGTTAATGAAGTGGAACACCTTTACATATATATATTGGCCATTTAGATATCCTTTTTGAAGTGCCTCTCATTTTTCTACTGTTATGTTTTTTATTTTAATTGATATGTAGGTATTCGTAACATCTATCATGTATGAGTTCTTTATCAGTTGTATGCAATTATCTTCTTCCATTCTATGACATATTTTCTCACTCTTAATGGTGTCTTTTAATTGGCATAGAGTCTTAATTTATAGTCAAACTTATCAGTCTTTTTCTTTATGGTTGGTACTTTTTGTGTCCCGTATAAAAAATATTTTTGTTCCCCAAAGTCATGAAGATATTCTCCTACAGTATCATCTAATAAGAGGTTTATTGTTTTCCATTTACATTTAGGTATACAATCCAATTAGAATTTATTTTTGTAATATGGTGTGATGTGGAGAAACAAATTTCTTTCATAATATGGATATCTGTTTGTTCAAGCAATAGTTATTGAAAAGGCTATTCTCTACACAAGTTTTGCAATAGTACTACCTTTGTCATAAATCAGATGTCTTTATGTGTGTGATTTTGTTTCTGGACTCTCTGATCTCTTTCTCTATTTGTTTATTCTTGCACCAATTACCACACTTTTAGAATTATCTTAATTAATTAATCTTAAATTTCATGTTTATTATAAATAGTGTTGTAATAATATTAAATTTTATAAGATTTTTGATATTTGGTAAAGCATCGTAGCTATTCTTGATCCATGCATTTCCATAAACATTTGTTTTCAACTTGTCAAGTTACACACACACACACACACACACACAAACACACACACACACATACACAGAGCCTGTTGAGATTTTGATTAGAATTTATTTGAGTCTTATAGTCCATCGATAGTGTATATTTCTCACCACATTAAATATATCTTCTTTAATTTCTCTCAATAATAGTTTATACTTTTATGTATGGGGTGTCTTGTGTACTTTTATTAAATTTATTCGTAGGTATTTGATATTTTTTGATATTATTATGAGTAGTATCTTTTAAAAATTTTTATGTCTGTAATTTCAAAATTTTTTCCAATTTTCACTATAATTTTTCTTTTCATCATGAGTTACTTAAAAGTGTATTTCTTAATTTCCTAAAATATGGGAATTTTCTAGTTACCTTTTTCTTATGTGTTTCTAGTTAAAATGCATTATGATCTATCAGTTGTTGAGAGGTATGTTTTGATATCCCACTATGATTGTGGATTTGTCTACTTTTCTTACTTTCAGCTTTTGTCTTATGTATTCTAGACCACTATATTAGATACATGTAAATTTAGAGTTTAGAATTATCTTCCTAGTCAGGGGCCAATCCCTCCTACGAGTAGTTGGAGAAAGATGGTACAAAAACATGGAAGTCCAGACATTAGGGGCTATAGGCAAGGCCATTTCCTTAAAGGGACTGTGGGTGGACAAATACCAATTGACATCCCTATGGCAGTGAGTCTTAAAACTTTGTCCAGACATAATATTATTAAAAGTTTAGTTGATGGCTAAGTCTGAATCTAAGGAATTTGGATGAAGATAGGTCTTTATTTATTTTTAGTTTTTTTTGTGTGTGTTTGTGGGTAAATTAATTTGTTTATTTTTTTAGCTCCCACCAATAAGTGAGAACATGTGGTATTTCTTTTTCTCTGCCTGACTCGTTTCACTCAATATTATTCTCTCAAGGTCCATCCATGTTGTTGCAAATGGCAGTATTTCATTTGTTTTTATAGCTGAGTAGTATTCCATTGTGTAGATATACCACATTTTCCGTATCCACTCATCCGATGATGGACATTTCGGCTGGTTCCAACTCTTGGCTATTGTAAAGAGTGCTGCAATAAACATTGGGGAACACGGATATCTTCGACTTGATGATTTCCATTCCTCTGGCTATATTCCCAGTGGTGGAATAGCTGGATCATATGGTAATGGAATACTACTCAGCTATAAAAACGAATGAAATACTACCATTTGCAACAACATGGATGGACCTTGAGAGAATAATATTGAGTGAAACGAGTCAGGCAGAGAAAAAGAAATACCACACGTTCTCACTTATTGGTGGGAGCTAAAAAAAATAAACAAATTAATTTACCCACAAACACACACACAAAAAACTGGGGGTGGGGGGTGGGGAAGAAGATATAACAACTATACTTTCATGAAGTTGTTACAACAAGCAAACAGAAAGAACATTCTTGGGGGGAGGGGAGAGAGGGAGGAGGGCAGGAGGTGTCGGTGATGGGCCATAATAATCATATACAGTGTATATTGACAAAATAAAAAAA